ACTCTGGATAGTTTTTTTTTTTTAAAAAAAAGGTTTCCATAATTTAACAGAAAGGATAACAGTAGTATCTTCCAACTACTTTTTGAAGTCAACACTGAACCGATATACCTTGTAAGTGAGCTGCAGATTTCTGAGGTAAACATGTTGTTTTATTACCGGATATACTGTATTTCCTGCCACTATTTCAAAGCTTGTGAAATATGTCACGCTGAGAGGGAAAGTGATAAGCCCATGGTAATCCACTGAGCTGCCTTGTTAAAAAGGATCTTAAACCTGACTCTCTCACAGTGTGGCTGATAGTTTCCTTGACAGTGGGACAGGGAATGTGATCTGGATTTTAGCAAGGACTTTGAAGGACCTATTGAAAGTGATGAACCCTTTTTAGGGATACAGTTCAGCACCTTGGATAGTGCCATTAGAGCTCATTTGCCTAAAGCTTAGAATGGATTCCCATTCCTATTACATAGAAGCTACGACATGTCACGGATCTCTCAAGTTTGGACCAATAATCTAACCACTACACTACATGACTACAAGAGGGGCATTCTTCAGGACTTATTAAACTGTTTATATTTCCTCAACAATTCATGGAGAACCTCCAAATTAATTTTGTTCTTTGTTTTGGGTGATCCAGCAGAAAAAAAAAACCCCAGAGCTGAAAAAAAGATTTTTTAAAAACAATTAAATTCCATTGTAAGCTTAGAAGATTGTGGGAGTTGTAACCCCTCCCTTCAAAGGAATTTCTCTGAATTCTGGTTAAATTAAACTCATAACATACCTTGAATCACAATTTACATATACTTTTCTTACTTTGTTTCTTAAAAGGTCATAAAATCAATAGGATCCCTTAGCTTAATGTGACAGAAGTTGAGGACAACATTGCCTGAGATTTTAGTATGAGTTATGCTTTAGTATGGATTGTGCTTGGGACCAGATATTTTTTGGATTTTGGAATATATATATATATATATATAAGAGAGAGAGAGAGAGAGAGGGGGGGGGGGGGAGGTGGTTACAACTTCTACCATCTTCTAAGCCAGGGGTTCTCAAATTAAGGCCTGAGGGCCAGATATGCCCCCCACCCCAAGGTCATTTACCCGGCCCTTGCTCAGAGTCAACTTAAGGCTGAAATGACTTGAAAGCACACAGCAACAACAATCCTATCTCATCAGCCAAAAGCAGGTCCACACTTTCCATTGAAATACTAATAAGTTTTTATTTGTTAAAATTGTTCTTCATTTTAATTATTGTATTGTTTTTAAGTGTTTTTGTACTCCAAATAAGATGTGTGCAGTGTGCATAGGAATTCATTCATGCTTTTTTCAAGTTATAATCTGGCCCTCCAACAGTTTGAGGGACTTTGACCTGGCCCTCTGTTTAAAAAGTTTGAGGACCCCTGTTCTAAGCTTATTGGAAAATCTAATTGCACTATCCAAGGTGCTGAACTGTATCCCTGAAATAGGTTCAGCACTTTCAATAGGTCCTTCAAAAATCATCTAAAATTCAGATCTCATTCCCTGTACCACTGGCAAGGAAACTATTAGACACATGTGTCTTTTTCCCCCTCTCAGGACTGATTACAGAGAGCAAGTAATGGGTCCACTCTTGCCCTAGGGGCCTTCTGCAAAATTACAATGTGTGAGCGCAGAAGCATCTTAGACATCTGGGTTTTTCGGGGGCCTTGTGTAAATGAAGATCTCTTTTTTTCTCTTTCCCTTGTTTGGGCTCCTTGAGGAAAAACTCAGTGGGCAATGGAAATGTGACTTGCCCCCTTTCGACAGCCATGGAAATTGGAAGCTGGTGACAAAAACTCTCAGGAGTATTTCAGACTTTAGATTTCCAGATGAAGGAAGCTCAACCAGTTTGAGATCTGAAAGGTGTTGTCCTGTAATGTTAACATGAAACTGAAATATTAGCTAAATCTAATTAGGTTTAAGTTGCCCGTCAGAAGATTCCCAGTTGATTTATGATGACCCCATAAGTCATAGAATTTCCTTAGTCAAGAAATGCTCAGAGCTGATTATGATACACTGGACAGTCCCTTAATAATCAGGTCACATTACAGAAGACCAAATTTCAAATTGTATGTGATCAAGTAACTAATGTACCTGCTATGAGTACAGCTGCATTCAACTGTCAATTGATTATGATATACATTGTCCTTCCCCCCATTTTTTCAATGTTGTTGAGTCCTGCTTCCATCTGCTGAAAGGAGACAAATGCCCCACCCATTGGTTTTGAATAACACCTATCTCTCTGGGTTCCTCTTTATTGTTTGTGCATTCTACTTGTTTTACTCTTGAATTTAATGTCTTAGACTCTGTTGTGACAATGACTTGTACTGACTATATGCTTTACATGTTCTTGCAAGTAATCTTCAGGGAATCTTTAAAACACATGAGAAAGATGTTGCTGCTTTTGTAATTTTCTACAGTAGCATAATAAAGATCCTGGGAAATGAATAACATAAACATGAAAAGGAGTCTTGATTATGAAGGCTGTGTAATCCAGTACTGAACAATCCACAAATGGAGCAGATGGTATATAGCTGAGTTTGACTCTGAACCAAATTATCCCACTTCAGGGGAGTGCTAGTTTGGGATTCAGATGTAACAAGGAAACAGACACTAGTAGATGCTCACAGCCTTCGCACCTGATACCATTTTGATGCTATCCACAGTAGACAGACTTGGAATGTGTGGCCTACTGTTTATCAGACATATTGTTTGATAGCTTGGTTCAATTGACTTATAAAGCAGCAATGTTCTAACAAGAGTGGACAGAAAAGTTATGGTGATTTCCCTCAAAAAGGGAGATTATAGCCTGTAGTTTTGTATATGATTTGGCATCATGTTCCTTGTATATTATCTGAAAGCAATTTTTGGACTGTTGGTGATTGTTTTTGTCTTGTTTTACACCATCTCCTTGAATCCCCAACAATAGAGCAGAAGGAAGATGCAAGTCAACCATTGATCCTTACCCAGAGTTGTCAATATATAAATATACATTTATATATACATTTATTTGCAGTCAATGACCAGCACCAAGAAATGTACAATTTCTTATCAATAGAGCAGGAATGATTTCCTGAAGTTACTAGGAGTTTCTAAACAAAAATGTTGTGCAATATGCAATGCATAATTGTATCTTCTCTTACATGGACGCAGTCTAGTATGGAGAAACTTGATAGAACTAACCCCAACATAAGGCAGTCACCTAAGACAGCATGAGCTGGGAAGTTGTAGCAAAATATTTAGGAGATAGTGGCATCATGTACTTCTGGCATAGTACTGGAGAAAGACAATCCCTAGAACATCTGCTCTAATTTTGGTGAGATAATGCCCTTACATGAAGTAGTGCATGCATGTGGTATCTTCTAGATTTTGTGAAACAAATAGCAATTATACTACTCGTATAAATGCAGATGCAGTATGGTGCAGTATTTACAGAGTCTTCACACTATCCCAAACGGATTTCCAAATCTAGTAATCAGAACAATGTAATATCCTGACATTAAAAGCAAATTATAATATATACGATCAGAACATTTTTATGAACAATTTTGAAAGGAAATTATAATGTATATTAAAAGTTCTGTGCACTCCCCCATCCTCAATGAGATGGCATAACACCATGATATTTCAGACAACAGTTCACACTGCTATTCTCTGTACTACACAACTCTGCACTTCTCACACAATAGTTGGCAATAGGAACACAGCAGTTTGGTAAAGAACTCCATGTTTGAGGAGGGTCACTGAGGGTGACTTACATAAACTCTCATCTCTCCACACATTCACATTGGCAAAGGCCTTTGATACACCATTACAGATAGGGGGTGCGCCCTAATTGAAGATATGAATTGGCATGTTTCCCAGAATGAATAGCAAAACATACATGATAGCAGCATAGTCAATAACCAATAACCACAGAGAAAGACTACAAGCAATTCACAAATATGATCACATCAGCATTAAGCAAACAACATCAAATAGTAAGCAAATCAAATCAAATATTTTTGTTGACAATCCACTAATGGATATCTAGACTACATTTGTTTAATGGAATATTTATTCCGAGTAGCTGATTCTACTGCAGATTTCCACTGCATGTCTAGAGATTCAGATGCATTTTTATGGGATATTTGTATTGTACCTACCTGGCATTCCATTATTATATCTGATTCTCAATGAACCCCCTGATTTTGTGTGTCTCTGATGCATGTTTGCTGTGTAAAAACAATTGGGTCATTAACAGATCACAATATTTTGGTTCAGGGCATTTGTAATTCTTTAACTATGGTTTTGATAGTGGAAGTGCCTCTTCTGCTCAACAACTCCTATATGTCCTCCCTCCCTCCTCCTTTCTTCTTTACTTTTTTCTCTCCCACACTAAAATTCCATCTCTTGCATTTCGCTTCTCATATCTACACTGAAGCTAATATCCATCATAAGTATTGTGTAGACCAGGCACGGGCAAACTTGGGTCCTCTAGGTGTTTTGGACTTCAACCCAAGTTTGCTTGTGCCTTGTGTAGGCGTTGCTTCCAACAGTCCACTTGAGCATAAAACTAGCCGTGACTTGAAGTAAAAATGGAGACATAACAATATGGTTGAGAGACTGGGCAATAGTTTTGGCAGATAAAGTTTTCATATCTCACTCTGGGTGTCAAGTTAGTATTGGCAGAAAAAAATAGAATAAAATTTACATGCAGCAGTGGATACCTCACCCTACTTTTATTTTTATAGCTGTCAAGGCAGAAAAATACATTCATTTAGTTAATTCTAGCCATTAGTAGAAAGAAGGGGAGCGAGCGATACATAACATATTGAAACGAATGGATTGCGCTGTCAGTTGAATGCTCTCTTCAAGCAAACAAGTTTTGAAAGCTTTTGGAGAAAGAGAGGTAGCCCTGCTGTTAAGCATTGCACATGCTGGCACAGATAAGTACAGGCATCAAGTGGCAGGGGAAGGTAGGTCAGAAGTAGGGCAATTACTTACATTGACAGCCCTGGTTGTGCCAGTAATATCCCCGCAGACACTTATCACACTTAGGCCCTGTTGTTCCCTGCTTACACTCACACATTCCTTTTTCATTACAGCGATCACGGATTGAGCCAAAACGGTTACAATTACATTCTGCAGAAACAAGACAACACATGTGAACTCGATACAGGGGTACATGATTATACCTAATTCATCGCTGATACTAACAACGGTGTTTAGCCATAAAGGAAGATTGTTTAATGATGGAAGAAAGGAAACGTCTGCTGGTTAATTAAAATTAATTGACATTATTAATTAACAATGATCATTCATTAGTCATCCATATTATTTACTATTATTAATTTATTATGTTACTTATTCTCCATATTATAATTGAGCCATGTTGCCAATTTAATGTTGCTCCTACTTGTGTCACCACCATATCAAAATACCAGCTTGGTTTACCTTTTTAATTGTTATTTTAGAATCAATGCCAAAGGGGAAGCAAGCAGAATAGAAATGGTGGGTTGTGGTTTGGCGGGAAGGTGTTTTGCCACCAGACTATGGAAGGATTACATCTCCTACCACATGCCACCCATGGGAAGTTGGTATCCTGGGATTACGGATTAAGTCTAACTATCAGAAGTCTTAGAACCTTCTGAATGGCACATTTTTTATCATTAAAGGATGAGGTCATCCATATTTTCAAAAGTAATTGACTATGGAAAAGCTTCCAATTCATATATTTAGATTTTTTTTATAATGAACACTAAGGAAGCCCAGTATTTCATGGAACATCAATAAGCTTCAAGTAAATCCTCTCCTAAATTATTAAAACAGGTAAGTAAGGTTCGATATGCAATGCATACTGCTGCATATTTTCTAAATGTAATGCAATGCACTCTACTAACTTGCAAGATCATCTTCCTTTATGTTTATGAACCTTTACTTAATTTATTAATGATGTTTTAGTAATTGGCATTTGCAGGCTGTATTTTTAGGGGGGTAACATCAGTGGTCTTTTTAGTTATTACACAGTTTGAGGCAAGTTAAAAGTGTACTGGAGTGTTGGGACTGCCAGACATTTTCATTAGCCTCAAACCAACAGAGAACCTATGGTTATATTAAAATATAAAATCAATTGATTAACCAAAAGAGCAGAAACCCTGTGGCCTTTCTATACAGTATCATACATAATCATAATTAGATGGTAACAAAGCATTTTGGTAATATGCATTTCAACGTGCAGGTCTTTATCACATTCTTTATGAAAGCTACTTAATACATGCACAAGACTTATTTTTTATTCTAATCCCAAATGGCAGAAAATTTTCAGAAAAGGCTTCTTAAGAGAGTTTTCTTAACAGCCTGACTGTGTATGCAGTATGGTCAACAAATTACAAAGAATTAACAACCATTTGGAAAGATCATTCTTATTACCTAAATGAAAGCAAATGTAATTAGTTTCAGACTTTCCTGCAAAGCCTTTGAAGTCTCCAGACAGAGTTTTTGCAACTAAAGAAAGTAATGGTTTTCTATGAACTGAAGAATAAACCAGAGGCACTGATGGATGTTTTATTAGTTTCAAAAGCCCCTGTTTCAGCCTGCCTGTGCTTTCAAGGTTTTCTGCTGGGTCTATCTGCAATTTAACTTCAAAAATTTCCAGAGCAGAAACTCTCACACCATTTACTGGACAGTTTGAGTCATGCTCAGTGTTGAAATCTTGGCTGGCATTTTGTCAGGCAAACAGCGATTGCCTGATTATTGATAGTTGCTTTACTGTGTACATTAGAGTATGTATTGTTTCCCATGGCATCTCTTGGCATTTCTTTTCTCTCCTAGTTTGGTGTCTCTGGGCTGTTTTAAACTTTGTTGTGGAACTCCCTATTTTGACTGTCTTCGATTTTTCTTTTCTTAATCCATGAATTTGCTTCTGTCCAATCCTGAATGTGAGTTGCCAAAGCCAGGGATGCAATGGGGATTTTATGTCTAGAAACATTCGCCAGTGCCAAGGCTGTTCTAGTTAGATTAGTATATACCAACAAGCATTTGAAGATCTGAAAGCTTCTATTCCAGCCTCCACCATTTGTGATTTAAAAAAATAACTTAATTTCATGTAGCAGTTAATAAAGACCTCTACACTGGTACTAAATATTACCAACAATCATTGCCATCCCCTAATTATGAATACATATGGTATTATATGATCCAGTGTGTTTAGTGGTGGAACCTGAGTCTAGGGTTGGAATCCTCATTCAACTATGAAAACCTACTGGGTGACCTTGTGCAAGTCACTCTCCCACCCTTACGAGAAGGCAGCCACAAACCTCCCAAGAATATTCTTGCCAACAAAACCCTAGGATACTCTTGCAATATGTCAGACTCGATAACACATAATAACACCAGTAAATGGTCTTATACGTCCAATACTGGTTTTCTGTATGCTGGGGAACTGATTATATATTGTTATATGCTGTCTATATATATTTCAACAATTAATTTGGGTATTGTAATTATATCATAATGGCATATGTAACCATGTAGAAATGGAAAATTATGAAATGGGTAAATGTTTGAAACCTATGGATTAGTTTTAAGAACATATGTATCTAATCAAATAATGGGTAAGTTATATCAAATTGTGCTCCTCTCCCTTTTAGCTCAAGAAGGAATATATTTTCAGATGGAACCTCTTGATTTCCTGGGGGACCCCATGGAAGGCCTTCCCAGTAACAATGCATTCTAACGAGGTTTCCAGTGACATTGAAGTAGGCTACTGGGAGATCTAATTTTGGAAATGTCCTCCATATTCAACTAATTCAGGAGCCAGGGCTGGGAGTTTTGATTCTTACCCTGACTATTATTACATTTTAAAGTTGTGCATGTACGTATATGAACACAGCCAGGTGTCAGAAGTGCTGTGTCGTCTCAGTGTTTGCGTTTTCTTAATGTCTTTTCCTTTACCTGCATTTTTTTCTGGTCTATATGTTCTCAGTGTCTTCCTCCTTACTATATATTTTTCCTGTTTCTCTTTTTTAGGCATTTCTGGGATTTCTTCTTTAAGAATTTGTTTTTTTATTGCAGTTAAATATGCATAGATAGGATATAGACTCCAAGTTAATAATAAGCTTCCCTGCATCCCTGATGTCTAACTGCTATCAAATGCAAAGAGTGCAAGCATTTCTTTTGAATCTAGTGATCATGCTGAGAGAACAGCTCGATTTTTCTTTTAATCATCTCATTTACAATTGTTTCCTGGAATTTCATTAAGTATCACTGCGATCAGAAATGACAAAACAGGAGGGATTTTTTTTTAGAATATATTAACATTGTAAATAGAAAAAAGAGAATAAGAGTTAACTCTGAAGATAGGGAAAAAAGTTGAAGAAGAAAATGTTATGAGTAACAAATATTATAGTATTTGTTCAGATTTTTGATCCTTTCAAATTAAAAATGTAAATCTCAAGAGAGGAGAAAGTAATGATACAATCATACCCACTTACCCAAGAATAAGCCCTACTGAATTCAGTGGGGCTTATTTTTGAGTTGGCAAGTATAAGATTACCTTCTAAATAGTATTGGAAATAATTTGCCAAAATGAATGAATAATTCAATCATCATCATCATCATCATCATCACCTTCAGTCAATTCATTATCAACACCAAATAACAAACTATCAAAAAGTAGAAATGGTCTACTGTGTTGGAGGAGACAAAAAAGGAAGATAATTCCAAAGTCAATGGATATTCTAAATTTGCCTTTAAATGGACCAGAGTCTAGATATGAATGGAAGATAAAGGCATTCTCCAGAAAAGTGATGGTTCTGTTCAATATACACAAAATTTGATTTTTGCCAAAGTCAACTAAAGTTTCACCTTGATGGTTAAAGAAACTAAAATTTATGGTGTTAGCCATGTGAAAACTAGGGTAATGTGAGGATATGTCAAATAAATTTTAAGGACTGGAAATGTTTCCATACATTCAATCATTCTATAAAAGCTGTAAGTTGGGACCTTTTAGTATGGTCACAAGGGTGAGTCTGCTGTAGCAAAATAGCTAAATGAAATTTCAGCAGGGCTTAAATGAAATATGTGATGCTCATATTTGTGATGAATAACAGCATGAGCCAAAAAAACAACAACACCGGTTTCTCCACAAACCTGAACAACTATATTTAATGCCCTGCATAGAGAAATTAGGATTGTTTGTTTTTGCATGGATCATCCTACATGTGGGAGGGGACAGCTATAACAACTGCAGGAATTGTGCAATAGTCCCAACCATGACTGCGGTCAAGGAGGAGAGGGAAAGGGAAAAAGAAGTTACTATCTACATGTGTGCATTGAGGGTGAAGGCACTGGGTTATTCTGAGACCTGTGTAATCTAAAAATGAACATTCCAAACTTTAATGTGTGCAACTTATTTTACATGAATGCTTTCCCCATGGTCATGCTTTACACATTGAGGATCAGGGTAATGCGGGGTCATGTATCCTCTGTTTATACAGAGGAAACTAGTAATGAAAATGGGCTCTAAACATGGAGCCATTAACATCTGTCTAGAGCTCTGGACAAAATAAACCCATGGTACCATGTTTAATATCTAAGGGAAGTACATAGGAGTGTATCAGATAGCAATATAAGAACAGAAAGTAGCAAAAGAAGATCCATTAAACTTCATGAATTCTTATATTTTATTACTGATATGAATACAGACATTTGATGGCTTCATGCACTCTCTCCAAGTCTGTAGATGCTAATTAAATTATTGTTCAGACAACACTGTGTGACTTTCATGTAATTTAAATGTCATACCAGGGTAAATTATACAATATTTCTCTATTGACACGTTACAAAAGAACTGCAGATATTTGTTGATTGATTGCAGTCTAAGTGTTGCTGTGCCTCAAATGTTTGTGATCCTAATCCTAATCAGAATACAGCTATACTGAGGTTTTGAGCCATTAAGGACAACATTGTAATTTATGTTTAAGACATGAAATTAGTGTAATGGTTGACAAATGAAGATTGCTTACTTGTTCCTAAGATAACACAGAAAGGATTTGCAATTTTTTTTTGCTTCTGCTTACTTTCTGAAGAAAATAGGCTGAATGACAAAAAGTCCCATATTCAATAGGATATTTTAAAATCATTCCCCCACTCCTACCTGTTGTGATGAATTAAGAAATTCACAGTAAGGGGTTTCTAAGGGCTCTGAGGGCTGTGGGGAGGGAGAGGTGGGGACTACAGTTAAGATCTAGACTACTGAAGGATTTGGGTCACAATGAATGCATTTGTTCAAATTCAGAAGTGAGCTCCATTGATTGTACAAGGATTACTCTGCCAAGAGTTAACTCATAATATTCCAAGAAATCAGACTATGAGGCTCACATGGGCATTTGGAATTTAGGAATTGGATGAGGATATTATCAAATAACATAATGGTTAACAAATAATGGCATACATCCAAGTGACATTACTGAAAGAAGTCAGCATAAGAAGTAGTTTATCATCTTTTGTTAGGTGCTGGAATGCATGGAATGAGATCAATGAATCCACATGCAGGAAAAAGTCATAGGCTATGATTTCTACTTGAGCTTTGGAACTTCTGAGTTAAGCACTGCTTGGGGAAAGGGTGCAGAAACTGGAAAATGTCATCAAGAGCAGTGAGTATCTCTCATTTACTGATACACTCAAGTCTTGGATTTCAGATTTAGTTATACACAGCACTGAATTTTATAAATCAGTGGAGATCAAGTATGTGATAAGAAAGAAACCCCACTGATTTCATGACTAGTCTGGATCCAACTGTCATTCCACGTCACAATTAACTTAAATGCTATTGATTTCAAACTATCTAAATCTGGAGATCTAACTCTATTTTCATTACTTCCCTGGTGGCACCTTGACCTGTTTTTCTAGTCTTATAGCTAGTTTGCACTCATCCATTATCTAGCAATGAGATAAGAATTCCTCATATTTAGTAGCCTTCCATGCACAAATGGTTGTCCTTTTGATTTAATATGATGCCTAATTTATCGAGATTCCTTACTCTCTTGCATGTAGAGGGTTGATGTTCAGTATAGACATCTAATAACTCATTCTGGTAAAAGAAAAACAAGTGCTACTGCTCTCACAGGTCTCTGCAGTGTGGCAACATACCTTTGATATCAAAAAGATAATGTTCCTTGTTCACATCAAAGAGTAATAATCAAATGAATGTTTGTTTTAAAAGACCTGTGCTTGGCATATGTGTTAATTGTATTGATCTGACCCATTTGAGCGGTTGTCACTTGTCTCGCCATAGATAGCAGTTGCACAGTATAATTAAACTCAAAGGAATCAAACTTTTGATTTAACTTAGCACCAATTCACATCAAAAGGAGCATCAGCAACTCATGAGTGTGTGCATAACTGTCTTTTTAAAGTTCTATATTCTTTTGTGAAAGAGAATTTTTGAAAGATAACAAAATAGAGTCTAATGGATGTACTCAAGTCTTGGAGTTGGTTCCAGATTTAGTAATACACAGTGCTGAATCTTGTAAATCAGTTCCAGAATATCTAAAAATCCAGATTAGTGTGGTTCTGGTTCTTTTGTTGCACAAAAAAATAAATTTCTCTGTACGCAATAGAATATGCTGTGGGAGACATATGCTGTTCTAATCAAGGTTTACAAATAAAATTAGTCCAAATTTTCAGATTTGCAGGACATAACAGACTCTGTTTAGTTACCTAGATTTCTGTGACATTGTGATAGCTGCTGAAACAGAATGAATTTGCATTCTATTGTATTACACTATGCTATTTTTTAAAAAAAAATATGGGTCATCTTTTGAATTCTGCTGCAAACTCATAATGTTCCTTTAATGACCAAACCAACAATTGAAGATAATATTGCTGTCATTCAGAAGGCACTGGAAGCAACTATTATCAGTTTTTATTAATGGTAAAGGTCGATGGAAGTTGCAGTCTAGTAGTATATCCACAATTTGGCCATCTGTGCTTAGTGAAATACCACCCCCCTGAAATATTCAGGACTTAACAAATGACATTCTATTTCAGGAGAAGGAGGACCATTTAAGTACTATACAAAGTTTGAGTATCAGAAAGGAGCTGGAGTAGATGACTGATGATGATAACCCATTTGAATTAATAATTTGATGGCACTTCTGCAGAACTTGTGGCCCAGCAATGTATAACAGCCTTCCATGGAACAAAAGACAGATTAATATATATTGTGTTGCCCATAAAGTATTGCAAGGGATCTGGGAATTTGTAACACAGGGGGATGGGGAATAAGGATTTTCACCATCCCACTTATGCCTGAACCTCCAACATAAATTTGGGGGAAATTGAAAATTATCTAATACTTACTTTTCATGTAATTTACAGAACTTGTGCAGATAAGCCACAACTTGAGCAAGTTGGCTTGGGACTATTTCAGGATAGATATAATGATAGAAAACATCTCTGTATAGGAAAATTTACATACTCCATATGTACATTAGCATAGATGGGTTGTTGTAGGTTTTTTCGGGCTATATGGCCATGGTCTAGAGGCATTCTCTCCTGACTTTCGCCTGCATCTATGGCAAGCATTCTCAGAGGTAGTGAGGATGCTTGCCATAGATGCAGGCGAAACGTCAGGAGAGAATGCCTCTAGACCATGGCCATATAGCTCGAAAAAACCTACAACTACTCAGTGATTCCGGCCATGAAAGCCTTCGACAATAAATTAGCATAGATGTTTAATGTACATGCATCTGTTTTGATGGGAGAATGGGGTGCAAAACAGCCCTGGACTGGATTTTGTCCACCACAAAAACTAATAGTCTCAAAAACTGGCAGTGATATTTGTGTTGGAAAGTAGGGATGCATGTCTTCACTTGGTTAGCTTATACATGCAATAACGAAAAATAACATTTTTTCTTCCTCTGATGTGTTTATGAAAGGTTTTGCACATTTTCATTTTTTAAGGATTCTTCTGTGAAATTGTTCTAAAGAATGATGTTTTTTGCAAATCTACTCCATGATTTGTACAAAGTACATTTTCATGCAATTTACAAAACATATTTTTACACAAAATCAAATATTTTGTGCAAAAGTTTCCTTGAAGAATCCTGAAATGTTAAACATTTCGTGCACATGGAAATTAGCAATTATTCCTTATATACCTGTTGTAAATTCATCACAAATGTTCCATGGCATTCTTATTGGTTTACATCTGAGCTAGACAATATTTATTGTAGCAGGTCTTGATTACTTTCTACTACATTTCCAGAAAGTTTGGTGTTTAATGATTTTGGCTAAAGCACGTAGCAAGTGGAATTTAATTTCTACATTTCACTTTGGGTATCTGTATGTGAAAAGATTATGGCATCTTTTCAGAAAAGTATTTCAGTTCATTTACTTTTAAGGGGCTGAACTCTATGCCTGACACCTTCCTATGGTTTAAAAGGTGCTTTGTATATTTGCTATTTTGTAAAAGAAGGGAGCACAGTTAAAGAATACCAATATTGTTCTTGATGGGGTGGTAATACATTCATCATAACCTGTCATTTTTCATCTGATCAGATTGCCCTGTCTCTTGAATATGAAGGCATCTGGCCCAGAATGTGTTTCATTTGTTAAAATTACATTAGTAACATATGTTGTGATCAATCTTTTCTACATCCTGGAATAGGCAGATGAGGGGCGCAATTTGTAAATTGTGCAAATCTATTGTATTTCTTTAAAGCCTATATAGTATAAAATTGAACAATTCACAGACCATATAATGGTGCTTCAATAATATCAGATTTGGGTCCAGGCTATTTGACCAATCTCATCTCCTCTTACAAACCAATTCGGGCACTGTGATTAGCATACAGAGGAAACCCTGCTCTCGATCCCACCCCCATCTCAACTATGGCCTTCTCCGTGAGAGAGAGGGCCTTCTCCATGGTCACCGCCCACCTCTGGAACTCCCTCCCTACAGCCTTCCTCCCTCCTCTCCTTCAAAAAACAACTGAAGACTTACTTTTGCTCGCTAGCATACAGAGAGGAGGAGGGCTAGACAATGAGTGATCTCTATTGGACCTCTGTATGAGAACTATAATTGTACTTGGGCTCTTTTTGTCCATATTAGCCCAGTTATCATTATTGGCCACACAACCAACCTATATCACTTTGTGAACTTAAGTTGGCCTTCTGTAAATCAATGTGGTTTTGTATGTTCAGATTTTATGTCACTATGTAATTTTTGATTGATTATGTTTTATTTAATTTATACATGTTAGGTTCAAAGTTTGTTTTTCATATGTGGAGTTATTCTGGATTATTATGACAGTACTTGTCTTACTGAGGCATTTGCCTTTTTGTATGTTGGAATTTGCCATGAGCCCCCCTGGGGAGATAGGGCAGAATATAAATAAAGTTGTATTATTATTATTGTTATTGTTATTATTATTAGTCACATTAGCCTAAACTTGATCTAGATTTTAACATGATTTCCTAGAACTTGATCAATCAGTAATTTTCAGAGAGAAAACATCCACAGTTTTTTAGCCAGGTCTGTAATAACAAGATGCAGTTCTTATTCAGGAATTCAGGCTAGAGGAAAAAGACTCAAAATGTATACATGGAAGGTACACAAATCTCCTCCATAGAAAGTGCTCCATCTGGCTCAGTTGGTGAAAGAAGAAAAAGGGTGACAATGGCTTTGCTTATGCACTAAAAAGGCTTGAAAAACTGAAAAAAGGCAGGGAACAAAATGCCAGAATTAGAATGAAACTGACCTATGCATACATTTTCATCGTCCAGCTTTGCCGAAACATTTCTGTAGTAGCCCATCCTGCACATCTCACAGTGCTGCCCTCTAGTGTTGTGTTTACAGCTCACACAAATGAATGTACTGAGCACATCGATGTAACTGCACCGGTTGGAGTGGCCGAAGCATTCACAGTCTTGCAAGGAAGAACAAAAATGTACACAGAGGGTATTCTGTAGCAGAGTCACAGAAATTCACATGCTCTTCCCACCCACCCCCTAAATATGAAGCATAAACAGATTATGAATGAAGAGCAGCACAACATGTTCATTAATGTTACAGTAGCATACATGGAAAACAACAGATACTTCACTGCTATGAAAGTGGTATCTCTTTTTCAAGCAGGTTAGAATGATTCGACAACCATCACATAGCATTGAAGGCAGCTTTATCATTAGGAGGGCTAATGGAACTGAAGCATTTGCAGTTGTAAACCTTTCACTGGTTTTGTGAGTTACTTCCACTTTGTCTTTCAGGGGTAGTCTGTGGAAATCTTTAAAAGGAAATACTGGTGGATGCAACTCTGATCTGCACATACAATTAAAAAAATCTCATTGTAGTGCTCTTTATGGTTCAACTTATTTGAGATGAGACTACACTTTTGAACAATGAGGTTTGCAGTTTGGACATGCCATTTTTCCACCAGCCATGTTAGCAATGAGAAATGAGAATGTACAATCACAAGCCATCTATAATCTGGTAACCTCCAGGTTAGTTTACTACAAAATGTTTTAAATGGGGTTGAGTTTGAGTACTCTGAAAGTAGTAGTGAACGAAAACTACAATGACTAGTCTTCTAACTAGACAAGGGGAGAAATATGTCACACACTTGATATTTTGGATTTTTACTTTCAGCAGCCATAGATAGCATAAACAGAGGTGAAAAATGCTAGGAGACTGAGTCAAACAACTTCTGGATGTCTACATGAACCTCCTGAAACTGACTCCTTGTCTACTCCTTGATTCACCTCCAAGGTTACTTTTCATGTAAGAACTATACTTCTTTTTAGCACCAAAGTCCTGAAGGTCACTTGCTCTCTGTGTATTAAGGTAGCCCCCGCCAAAGTGAAGTGTAGGATGTCAAACTTTTGAATGCTGATGTCCCAGATATCAATTCTCTTTTTATTTTTCAAGGCGTTTGACATTATTTTCATCCCTGTTAAATCTCTCATTATGTCACTTTTATTTGTTGATTTTAACTGTAGCTTTAGGGAAAAAAGAAATGACCACTTAGGATGTGAAGAAGTTCCCCATAATGGACCACAACTGTTCAAACTGAGAGAATGTCCCTTGAAAGTGTTTGATAGTTTAAGCAGGAAACACATACTTTGTGGTGCTTATCGCTACCATCTTTGGTAAACCTTTCTCTTGGATTTTCTGGGGTACTGTGTCCTTCAATACATTAGATTCTTGGTGCATAAAGGTAAAAGTTTGAAATGTGAATGATGTTTGCTATGGTGAAATAATGGAGAATGACAAAATTTCAGCAGAGAGGAAAGGCAATCTCACAGTAAGGCAAGTAATTCAAATAACAGTCGTCACTTCTTGCCAACATAAAACAATAGTTGCCTATATCAATTTCAATGGCAGGTTAAGGAAAAATAACAGTTGCCTAGTTTAACTCATAATTCTAAGTTTGGATTGATACTTCCTCGGTAGCAATGTGAGAACTGCAACTTATTTCACAAGACTCAAAGAGATAGGAGGGGTGGGCATGCTGCAGTTTTTGTACAACAATCAGATAATGCTGTGTTACTCCTCATCTTTTATTTCTAATTAAATTTCAATGTCTCGCCAGCCTATATTTACATAAAGACTTCAGGGTGAAGAATATGTGTCCCTTCAGATATTGCTAAAGCTTCCATTATAATTCCTAGTTAGCAAAACCTATAATAAGGAATTATGGGAAAGAGCAATCCAACAATATCTGAAAGGCTATATGTTCGCTATCCCTGAATTAGATGAAACAGTGCTTTTATCATACAATTTGTATCATCTCTGTATATATACACAAAGAATGAAGGATACACACCATCTGTCTATCCATGAAAGTGCTATGAATGTATTACCTATCAGAGACTGGGAATGCAAATACACCATTTCATCTTTGCAAAGGAGGTTGAATAACTTCTGTAGTTTTTCTCAGTCTGTGAAGATATTGCTATTTCTATGCAGTTCTGACCTAATATTCACACATTCATAAAGTACTTGGGGAAAATATGCTGTGCGAAAACAACAATGGAGCTTTTGTTATGCTATGTGGTTTGTTTTGTCCTTTTATTTTTTTTGCAGACAGAAAATCTAGTTTACATAGAAAAATTAGCAAAATTGCAGTTTGTGCATGTTGTTGATTTTACAATCCCTCTCCACGTGGTTTTCTTTTTTGTGGGTCAAAGATTGCGTTTTTTTAAGGCAAAAGAACCAATATTATATACAAAATCATGCAACTGTTTTGGGTGCATTACAGATAGCTCTTTATGTGCAAAAGAAGCACACAAATAGTAGTTTGTGCCAAAAGAAACAATTTTCACTCAGGGAGTTCATGTGCATTTATCACATAATACTTTTGCTGAAATAATAACAATAATAATAAACTTTATATTCCACCCTATCTCACACTTAAAGGTGTGCTAATACGAGGCAAAAAAATCTCTCCATTGTGTTGTTCTCCCCATCTAGGCTTATCTACTTTCAGTACACCTGTTTTTCAGGTAGGAAAAATGGCAAATATTCCCTCCATCACCCAGTGACTGAGGATTTTATCAGGTGTTTGCTATTCACTGATGGCAAAAAGCTTAGGAAGACATGTGCTCATCCTTTGGTCAGTTGCCACATGACCTGACTAAATTATAGTAGGGAATGCTTTTGAAAACAGTCCACAATTATAAAAGCCATTCTCCGACTCATCAAGATAGGACCCTTGGAAAGAGGAAGGAACAGCACCCAAGGCACCCACATTAGTCTGAAGCTCCCTAGAAGAAAGTAATTTTCATCAATTATTTAATTTCGTAATTGAAGCTTTATGAGTAAGAGCTGCACTTTCCATCCTTCCTCCTAGCTATGTCTTTGATCAGCTGTTGTGCTGATTTCCTTTTAAAAATACTCAAAACCTATTAGCCATTCATTGGCTGTCTGTCAACTATAGGGTGACTTCTGGACACTGGAGTAAAGAAAATTTTATAGAAGGAGACTGAAGAATTCAAAGGCAGACTTGTTTGCTTTCACAACGCTAACAGCGTGGTTTAACATCTCAGTTTAAGAGGAAAACACAGGATTGTAAAGTATCAAGTCAAATAATAATTAATGGCCCTGAATTCTGAAGTGGAAAAATAGTTCTGATAATTATAATCCTCAGTTCATCTTGGATGGTTAATGACTGATTTGAAGTGCACAGTTAACAGCAGTTCTAGGTTTAATGAAAGTGCTAGAACCCATATTTTTTTAAAAAATCAGACTGTTGGCTTTTTGGGGGGCGGGCAGGGGAGGACAACCATTTTGGGTATAAAAACGGCCATACTGTCCTAAAGTACAAGTTTTCACATACTGTGTGGTTTATGCCTCATTCAACAACTCATTCAAAGGGAACTGATGACGCAGTCCTATGATGACAGTCACTTCACAACCCAGTATAGGATAAATTATTTTAATCCCTTACAGCTTCTTTCTAAAACAAAACAGGGCCCATAAAATGCATGAACAAGATATTCTCATGTTCATCCTTATGAAGTAGAATAGAAGGCAATTGCAACACTGATGGTCTACCTAATCCCTCATTTCCACTCTTTCTGTGAGAAATCCAGAACTAAAATTAGTAAGGAGCAGAAAAGAATTAACAATTGGAAAGACAATCAGGGCCCTTCCACACAGTCCTATATCCCAGAATATCAAGGCAGAAAATCCTACAATATCTGCTTTGAACTTGGGGCCCTTCCACACAGCCCTATATCCCAGAATATCAAGACAAAAAATCCCACTTTGTCTGAGTGTGGACTCAGATAACCCAGTTCAAAGCACATATTGTGGGATTTTCTGCCTTGATATTCTGGGATATAGGGCTGTGCGGAAGAGCCCTTAGACTTTCTGCAGCACACAGAGACTTTATCAGATCAGGGATGCATTCCTGGATCTTGTTACTGAGTGTGAGAATCACTGAAGCAGTTACATACATAGGTAAATGAAATGTGTAAAGTGATCATGCAGTGACTTGATTTTTCAATGCATCCAACTGCCAATTCAATATCCCAAAAGTAAATGTAAGCAGCAAGAACTCATTGAGATAACTTTTCAAATTCCTTCTTCTGATGTCAGAACACAAACATACCACAGAAAACTTAAATTTTGAAAACTGTACACAAACAGAACATTTATCTTACGTACAGATACACATCCAGAAAATTCCAATCCCACTGATGGATTGGATGAGGGCCAATAAACTAAGAGGCATTTCAGATAAAATGGAAGTCCTGTTCGGAAGTTTATTATTTGCCTAAAGACTGAAAAAGTTAACATTTTGGACTTCAGCTTGCTGAATTCATGAGGCATCATGAGATTAAACACACATCATGCAATTCCAGTTCAAAATCCAGGAGACTGCAGTTCAATAAGCTAGCTTTTTCCAAGTCTGATTCATTGCGTCTTCTAAATTAAGGAACAGGTTGTAGCCCCTAGATTTTTCCGTTTTCTATATGCTCTCAAATTCTTCAAGGGATGTAAGGGACAATTTCACCACTTTGGGCCCAAAGTATGATAGTGTGATTGGCAAATTGTGTGGTAGCATGCACTGCCAGAAGGGACAGAGAGTTTCACTTCTGACACGATAAATAAATAAATACTACTTTGGGGATTCTGTTTCACTTTTAAGGACAGGACCGCAGAAGCATTTTTTCCCAACAGCAAGTGATCCGCAAGTCTTCTTTTTGGTCATTTCCTGTTGGAAAAAAGGTCCAAGGTGGGTACAAATGTACCAAAATGCCTCTCAAATACTCTGCTGTGGAAGCAGACACCTTTTAGCAGATTTTCCTCCCTAAATATTGGTGGGCCATGTGATAGCATGCATGCAGCACTTTCTCCACCCTGTCCTAAGATATCAGACCTCCAGTTGAGGAGTGTTCTTGATTCTGGCCTTGCTACTGAAGG